CTTTATGAGAGTCGAGGTGAAAGTCAACAATTTCAGATCTTCGAATCTAAAAACATTTAGTTATCTTTATCAAGGTTAAAATGTTATTGAAACTATTCTTTATATACTCTTTCAGACCTCATTAGTTATAATTATGTGGTTTTTCTTATGCTAATTGGTGATCTCGTTTGTTTATTTACAAACATGTATCATGTATACAATAAACTTTAATAATGTCACTATATATCCTGTAAGTGCGGGAAAATATTTTATCTCCTGTCGTGTTGGACCGAGCGTTGATTCCGGATCACAAAGTGGAACCATTTACCTATTTCTATAGGTTCTACTTGAAAAGTACTCAGTTCGCATGACTACTATTCTTCCATTCTTCAGGAGAAGTCTTAATTAAAAGAGTTCTATTAGATAACATTGCTTTAAAGATGTGTTATATACCTCTTGTAATTTCTGTATTTTTCCTGCACTATAATCAATTTACAGTAACCAACGGGATTGAAGTGTAACTGAAGATCAAACAAAGTTTTTAGGGTATCTCAATGCTGTGTGATCTGATGGAAAAATAAATCAATATGACTATCTCTCACGCGATACTTAACACTTCTGTAACTCTTATCAGACTACCTGGAACCTTTACCAGTGATAACATATCAAATATAAACTTTTAGAATGTTTTTAAACTATCTTTGCTAACTTTACTTTGATTTAGAAGTAAGTGAAATTTAAAGTTTTGATGTAAGATTTTACATTCAGGCTGACATTAGAAAAAGTTTTTTTGGACTTACGTGTTTCTCTTGGTCCGAGTTGATTTGCATTCTGTAAGTAATGTTTTAAATTGTTTATCAAAAAACTGTTTTGAAATATTTATGTGAATTTCTGTTGACAATGGTTGTGCTTACTTTCTGTAACCAAACTATTTTCAGGGATATTCACCGCACCCCATACTAATTGCATTTTGTTTTTCGTAAATACCACGTGTTGAAACGCATTCAGTTTGTCACAGTGCTATACGAATTGTACTATTATCAAGGTAACAAGAACCTTCGTTGTTGATGGAGGACATAATGTAGGGTCGCTATATCTTGGCAGGTCTTTATAAGAAAAACTACAGATAAGTACGCTACCGATATATTCTTCATGATAATGGATGTTTAGTGCGGGAGCATACACAATGTTTAGAAGATTTAGAAAAACAGACATCAAAACAATTGGCGCTTCTGTATGGAGGTCAATCGTATTCAGAATTAGATGCTATGTACTTATGTCTAATACATACGGCACGATACATCTGTGCAATGTTCAAAGACAAAATACCTCTTTTACTTATGTCATAATACGTCTAATTCATAATGCAAATGTTAAATTACATAAAACCACCGACACAATACCTAAAATGATACATGCAATGTCCTTTCACTTTCGACATTGTACATTGAACAAAGCATAATTGTCTTTGCGTCTTTTACATTGCACTAGTTACATTACATCTTCGTCTTATCTTCTACATTGCATTAGCGAACGTGTTTTATCTCGACTGCATTATCTTTTTTGTGATTTGTGGGCGTTTTGGTGATAGGAATGATATAAAAAAACCATAAACGTTATATCTCGACAACAAACACTGATATGTTTCTATTAATGCAAACCCACACTATTTAATCAACATTGAACTAAACAAAAGTGTCTGTAGTTCTTACGCTATATATAGTAAAACGCTTCACCTTCTGCTCTGAGGGTTCTCTTTATCTGTCGCAATGTTCAGTCAAATTTATTCTCTTTCATAAACGTTCACAAACTCGTCCAGAGAAGTTTGACTTTCTCTGCTTCGTAATCTAAGAGGAAAGTGAGAAAGAAAAGCGATTTTAGTGGAATGGATTTGATACAGATGTCATACTAGGCTATAAAGATGCGATAATTGACAATTATTTGATAGTTGATAATTCATCGGATCACGAACTAATGCAGAAACCATTTTACTCTGAAGAGGATGTCTGGTACAGAAAATGGAGCCATGAGCCATTAAGATTTTACAATCTTTCATTGATTTGAGTTTCAGTTGCTACGTCGAAAAATGCGATGAATTTGTCTGATCTATCGTCTTTTCAAAATACTAAGAACTAAAGTACTAAGTACTAAATAGTGCCTGAAAATATTTACATCTATGTATCTCTACTTGATCAAGCTGAAATTGTTTTATAAGGGTTATTTGAAAAACGGAGCGTGTCAATTAAGCAGTTTGACCTTGCTTCGGTCTTTGGCTTTATAATGGCTCGATATTATTAGTTGAAACCTTCTGAATAAGTAGATACATATTGCTCTATAATTTGGCCTTTATTTTGCTTAAATCCGTAAAGTAGTTTTCGTACACCTACCAAAAGTGGTAAAGAATTTACAAAATTCATGTACAAAATTTTTAAATGATTTTGGCGTTAAATTTCACATCTGGATTTTTTAGTTAAAATAATCAGAAACGTTAAGGGACACATCACACGGTCCTCTAGATATTGATGTATATTTATCACAAATTTGAGTAAAAGTTTTCCTTTGAGTAATGAAGAACTGGAGGTTGGATTGATCTCTACAAGCTTGATTGATCTCAATACTGTGCTACATAGCTATTTATGTGTATAATAAGATGTATCATTAATAGCATTTTTTTTCTTGATTAAATATAGATGGAGATTAGATAAAATATTTCTAATTAGATTAGAAATTACCATAATCTTTAAACTTACACAAACTGAAATCCTGATACACATTCTTTTTTATTTGGGAAACCCTTTGTGATCTGATTTGTTACAGAATCAATAGACCAAGGTTTTGGCGACGCAACAAAATATATTTATATTGGAAAGAATATTCAAACCGATTAGTTTTAGATGACTTGTTACTGCATGATATAAAAGTTGTTTATTGAAAAGCTCTTCGAGTTATTAAGAATGATTGACTTTTCTCGATTTTGTAATAATTTACCGCAATTGTCATCTCTGAATGTTGCAATTTGGAGCATACCACATATCTGTGCCTAATTTTCATGAAAATTCATCATACAGTTTTTGTATACATTACTTCTATATCCGAACCAATGAAAAGTATCACCACATAAGCAGCAACTTGAGACATACTTTTCAGTGTTCAAGATATCTTCACAATTTGGTAAAAATAATATCTAATTCGAATTCTCACAAATAATAGGCTAAGCCATAATATCCAGTGCATCCGCTGGCTAAATGAACTGTAATGAGTGGGCAGTGGAATTGACGATAATGGATTTATCAACTTACCATGAAGAAAAAATATCAGAGAAAAGAACGTCATAATATAAATTTGTATTTATTAACACTTGTATTGCCAAAGTAATATACAATAGATCACTAGAGCGCGGACCTATGAGAGGCCCCCAAATTATTTGAAACGCAGCTGTAGCCTATTCGAGTATTCCTTTATTCGATATTAAAAAAACTATCAGGTTTGCGACTATATGACCTTTCTGAACTACGAAATTCAATTTAATGTGTCATTGTGCTTTTTTTCATTATCAGGACCAAAGTAGTCTATGGTATTTATATCTATGTTTCAACTTGATCCAACTGAATTTATTTTTGTTAAATAAGCAGTTTGACCTAGTTTTGGTGTTTGGCTTAGTTGAAACCTTTGGAAAACGTATTGGGACACATTTCTCTAGAATTTGGTGTATAGATTTCACAAATTAGATTAAAAAAAAAACTTTTTGACCCGGAAAAAAGTATTATCCTTTAAGCTTTAATTCTCTTCGTCAATTGCTTCAATCTCTTTGTAATTGCAATTGTAACTACATGCCAATTTTATATCATTTTCAGAAGCCAAATCTAGGGTAAAAAAATACTTGAACTCTGTATATCATGATGGTAGTTACATCAAATTACACGTTCTACTAATCAAGCACTATAATTTTATTCATTTTTCTTTTCTCAATTAATACCATAGACTGCTTCATTCATGGCTGCATTACATTTCTTTTTTTTTTCATAGTGAAATTTTCCTTTATGATAATTAATTAAATTCGAATGGTTTTGTGATAGGATTGGTGAGATCAATATCTCGCTGTGATAGTTTCTTTTATAACGCTTCTTTAATCTGACATATAAAGATTTCTTGTCGATGTATCATTGCTGGATTGCGGATATGAATTAAAGTACGGGAGATATATAATTAGACAATTTAGATAATTTGAACAAGTTGTATAACTCGCTAAAATTAACTTTTATATGGCATCAGCTCCGGGGTATTTGAACACAATAAGAGAATGTGTTTGAAAATATAACTCAAAGAAATTTGATTTTAAGTGTCAGGACGAAGGGTTTATCAAATGTGATTTATGCTTTCACAAAAAGATGAAGTTTTGCCGAACCTAGTTTTTCTAAATATATATATATATATATATATATAAAAACTAGTGCCACTAAATGAGAATAGATGAGATTAAAGATAGGTTCCCTTATTTTCATTTATGAAAATGCTAATACTTATATGAATAGAAAGTAGAGGTGTTCCCAGTTTGTCTCACATTTCCATAATTAATTCACAATTGGCCAAATTAGAAGAGGATTACCAACAGAATTCCAATGAGTGACCGATCAAAAAAGCCTTTTTTCGTTTATCCAGACTGTACACATGGGCATTTATGATTGGTTAAAACTCTTAATATTATATGCATTATGATATGATTAAGAATACACGATAATTCATTATTAATCAAATAGATTGTTTAATTTGACACTAAAAAATAAAGAAACCCATCTTTAATACCAACTAATTTTTCATCTTGATTTGATTGCGTAATATTAAATTGTATACGAAGTAAAGATCATCATATTCATATAGTTTCTGGTATTTGTAGTCACCGTCAATGGAAATATGTCTTATGAAACCAGAAAACCAGACGAGACCCACTTTAAATGCCAAGCGAATACTATTATTTGGAGCATATAGATGTCAAATATGTGTTGTCTATTTTCAGATTTAAAATGGAAACTAATGATACATATGGTAATCAGTTTGAACCAGGACTAGAGGTGTTTGATTTTGAATTGTATCACAATAGTTCACATGAGAGAGGTTTTATCAGTAGCAGCAGAGTTGGTATCACCATTTGTGTTGGAAACTTTATCATCAACAGTCTTGTTTTACTTCTTATTCTATGCTTTCAAACTACCAAAAAGCAATTTGTCATGTCTCAAATTGCTAATATTGCTATCATGGATATTCTCATGTGTTTATGTGTCGACACTGTGACCATATATCATAATATTCACCCATGGTCGTTGGGACAAACTATCTGTGAAGCTTGGTTGGTGCTAGATGTCTTGTTGCCGTTCAATGCCTATCTGGGAATAATACTGATGAACGCGGATAGACTTATGTTTGCTGTGAAACCATCGTTTTACTTTAGGTTATTTAAGAATGTACAGACAAGACGTTTATATCTAGTTATTCCGTGGATAATAAGCTCTGTGCTAATAGTTCCAATATGGTTATTATGTGACGTCCCCATGCAACACATACCGTTCATGTGTGTATATGCAATAACAGAAAGTGCTGGAACGGCATCTTCAGTGGTTTCGTTATTCGTTCCATCCGCAATAGTAGGTTTGCTTGTTTTACTTCTCTTAGTGACTCTGGCATACGGACTGCCGAAAAATCTTCAAGAATTTCATAATTTAACAATTGAAGATCATTTTGATAACCCGAGAGTTATACTGCGTAGACATAACAGTTTGATAATTGCTCTTTGTATTGTTGACGTTGCTGCTTTAACAATGCAGTTACCGTTCGGAACGTTGAGTGTTATGGAACCACAATGTCTAGCCGATCCCTGTACGTCCATTATTGAACTGATGTTTGCTTTAAGTTGGCTTCGGTCTGCTACACCAGGGGTTAGAGGATTGATATGGTTTTTATTTACAGAGATTAAGTTGTCTTGCTGTTTTTGTATGCGATCTAAATACGCAGATAGTAATCGACGACCCTTAGTGGAGAACGTACCCATGACGTCAACTATGAACACCCAACATGAACAGTTAATTTCTGTAAGCGGTTGTGAGAAAGTAAACGAAAAGAGATTATTGTAAATTCAACTTTCTATATCAGAAATTTATGTACATATAAAAGTGTATAAAAGTGAAGCTACGATTACATACATGTGTACGTAGACTTAACTCCTAACTTAACACCTCGGACGTAAACCTGGCTCCGCCACTGCACAACATTGCATCTTTATCTAAGTGTTCTTCAAGAAGATCAGGAAAATGTTGCGCTGATGGCGGTCACAAAACAAATCTTTTTGATATGTCTCATGCTGCAATTACATTCCGCAAAATCGTCAACGTAAAAAAGTAATGGGTCAGGAAACATCCACAGTAATAACGCCATAAGGGGGATTCCTCCATTTTAAGCCCCATGCCAGCTGTAATGCAACGCCGTCCTCAAAAGCAAACAATCGCTCGCTTAGCCATCCGTTGCGCTTACGGAGTTTGAGTTTGAGAAGTGTCGCAACGAGACAAAACACGCACCACTGCGTAACGCGAAATGAGCGGGATATTAGCGCGTTTCGATCTTAAGGGCTTGTGTTTTTTTTAACTCAAAAGATCTCGCCACACTAGAACGCAACTTAACGCGAAATGAGTACGGTTATTAGCGCAAAAACCAACACGTGAAACTTTTACATGCGGTGATCGCTTAGTAAAGATGTCAAAATAATAAGGTACATTATGAGATCATCACATCCGGCAGCGTAGCCTAGATGATAAATATGTTAAATTGTGGCACGATTACCCTGCTTCTACATTACCCGATACCCCAAACAGTAATAACAACTGCATTTCCTCCTGTTCTTCATTGCTTGAGATGTCACTGTAGTTTTTATTGTAGAATCAATTCCCTTTAAAGATGCCTTTACTTTTTCTTTAAGAGCCAACACACCAGTTTGAATCTTTGTTTATTTAATGTTCTATGTAAGTTTTCTTGTTAAGTATTTGATGACATTGCTGAAAAGATAACATTGCATTGTGTTATTTTATAATCTTTGTATGATAAATAATAATAATAATAATAATGAAAAAAAAACACGTAGACTTAATTTAAATTGGGAATTTTGTTTTAAAGACTTTGATATAGTGCTAGGCTTCTAATGTAGTAGGCCTATCATCTGTTTTCTTGGCTTGTTTAATAGTAGTATTAATATTGATCTCTTACAGTTAGTTTAGACCATACGATTAATTTACAGATGTGGATAGGTCAAATTCAAAATTTGTGACTAGTTCCGCCTATTCTAATGTAGGCCTACAATTCTACTAAACTTTTGAACTAAGCCCGTTAAGGTGTCAATTCCAACTAACCCAGGGATGCCAATTTTGATGACACTTTAGTGTGCCGACTGTACAACGTCGTGTCAATTGCGTAAGTTTTTGTTTTACTTGTTATAATTTTTCACATCATTGTTAGCGTTATTTATCACCTAAATATATATTTTTGCATTTTTCATCATAACTTTCATCTTACTTTATATAAACCCAGTTTGACTTATTTGCATAATTTGATCCCCACATTTTCACGTTAGCATATACAGTTTCCTCCTGTTACATCCGCTGTACATTCCCTTCCTAACCTCAAGTTATTTTCATTATGCTCCCCAACTACAACAACCACTGGCAAGAAGCCAGACATAGAAACACTTATCGTGAACCAAACCAATATCACGTACCCTACAACGGCCCTGTCTTCCATCGACCTCTACCACCTACCAATCGCCGACCACCAACCAACCCATCCAGCTATATCCCACCCCATCACCTACAACACCTACCAATCAAGAGGTAACCATCGACCTGACCAACAACAGAAACGACTACCAGCCCACCGACGCCAACCAGTCCCCACTCATAAGGAGGAAGAACTCTTTGTGAAGGTGTTCTTCCAAGTTTTGCAGTGCCTCCATCATTTGGCAATCCTTACTCTTCAACAGCAAGGCCAACCAGCGTTTACCTTCAAACGCAAAGTCTCTGAGTTGGATAGTTTTATCCGTCCAGCAATGAAAACATCAGCTGTTGACGCGAATATTAGATCCCTCAATCGGACTTGGCTCTCTAAGGTTACGCAGGTCCTGATCGACCATTACCAACCACACTTCAAGAGAAGCTGACCACCACCAAGTCTTTATCATCAGCTGCCGTCGACCGCATCGTTTCTCATGCCCTGTCCTGGGCCCGCCGCTCCTATGGGAAACGTCTCACTCAAGCTGTAATCACCAAGTTCTACCAAACAATCAACGAAACAAAAACCAGAGTAACCATATCTCTACCAACTGAAATGGACACTACACCTGAACCATCTAGAGCCACGACGCTGCCGAACCAAAGCCCTAAACGAGCCCGAAGTTCACCTACTCCTAGTCCAGCAGACATAAGTAAACGCTATCGTAGAGAGGGCACTCCCCTTCTCTTTTCACATTCAGACTCGTCTTCCCCTTCCACACCATCTGAATCTTCACCACGTGATCCAGGATCCGCCAACCTTTCTTCCTTCTGTGCGTTTTTGGACCAGCAAACCACCCCTCAGTCTCCATCCAAGTCGAGACATGTATCCAGACCTTCCCCTCCTCGAACCAGATCCCAGTCCGTTCCCAATGCTACAATTCTAACAACTACCAAACCAGTACCAATCACACCTTCGACGACCATTATATCCGCTACCAAACCGTATTATCACCAAACCAAGGACAAATCATTATGGAAGCTACCCGCTCTAAAGAAATCTACCTTAATTATTGGATCATCTAACCTGAATTGAATTACCAAAACCAGTTCAGACACTGAAATACATTCTTACCCCGGTGACCAAATCCATCACATACAGTCAATCCTGGAATCATACGACCATGATCCCAAACCTACTACTCAATAACCGTGATCAGTTACCAAAGACCTCCTTTAACCAAGCCCAGAAATTAATCGCTACAGCCAACAAAACCTTCCCAAACTCCAAGATCCTCTTCACATGTATACCCATTTCAAATAAAATCTCAAAGAAAGCACAACAGAACCTCAGCACTCTCAACAACATGATGATGGAGTCCAGTATCAACAGCGCAACAATCTTACCACCCTACGAAGAAGAATTCGAACCAGTTGATAATCTTCATTGGTCTCCAGAAACAGCAAACAGCATTTATTTGTTTTGGATACACCAGCTTCAAGCATCGAGTAAGTCTTTAAACTAATTACTGGGGATAAAAATACTGAGAGGCCACCGCTAGGCCAAACTGTAGTTAACTTGAGCCGCAAAATTCTCACACCCCTTCAGCATTCAATCTTAAACCGTGGACTTAAATTTATTCCCACACCAAAGATAGCTAACTTGAATTATCTCCGACCATCCATTGAACGATTTCAACGAAATCTTAGCTGCACATATTTTTTTCGAAACCACCCCCCACGTGGTGCTAGAACAATGTTTATTCCTAAATCCACGTGGACACCCCCTCAGGCCGCCATCCATCCTGAAATATTGAAATCATTTGCGAGTATGAATAGCCAAACAGTGAACCTTTCCATAACACACGAAAAGCCTAATCTCACACGAGTGGAACGTGAAGCGTTAAACTTACTTAAGAAAGACGATAGCATTGTTATTAAAAAGAGTGACAAAGGTTCATGTTGTGTCATTCTGAATAGGGAGGATTACGTTTCAGAAGCAGAGAATCAACTGAATAATCCTAAACATTACGCCATTTTACCGAAACCAATTTTCAAAGAAACTGCTAACATGATTAACAATATTCTTGCCGATTTAGTCAAAACTAGTTATCTCAAACAGAAACAATATGAATCTCTGTCTGCCAAACCTGATTGTCGCGAGAGACATTTGTACACTTTGCCTAAAATCCATAAGAATCCAACCAAGGAGTGGTTTATCTCGAATAAAATCCCTAAAGGCCACCCGATTATATCTGACTGTGGTAGTGAGTCATATGCAGTGTCAGAATACATTGATCATTTCTTACTACCTCTAGCATGTCAAAATCGCGCCTACCTTAAAGACACAACCGATTTTGTCAATAAAATAAAAAATCTTCGAGTTCCCTCTAATGCTATTTTAATTTCTATCGACGTTTCTTCTATGTATACCAATATCGATAACACTACTGGTTTAACGGCAGTTCGTAAAGCTTTTAATAGAAACCCAGATCCAAACAGACTCGACGATGCAATTCTCCAGCTTTTAGAGATTTGTCTTAGTCGAAACGATTTCACATTTAATGGTAAAACATATTTACAAACTTCAGGGACAGCAATGGGCAAACGATTCGCCCCTTCGTACGCAAACCTTTTCATGGCAGAGTGGGAACGTGGGGTGTTGCCCCTCTGTCCATTTGACCCACTTTTTTACGGACGCTTTTTGGATGACATTTTTATGGTTTGGACTTATTCTATCGAACAGTTTTGGGAATTCTTTGAAATTCTCAACAACCACCATCCTTCTATCAAACTAACCGCAAACGTGAGTGACAAAAGCATAGACTTTCTCGATACCACAGTCTTTAAGGGAGATTCCATAGCAGAAACAAATAAACTGGATATTGAAGTGTATTTCAAAGAAACTGATACTCATCAACTCTTGCACAAGAGCTCCTTTCACCCAAAACATACCTTTTCTGGTATAATTAAGTCACAAGTTTTACGATTTCATCGAATTTGTACAAGATCTTCTGATTTCAACCAAGCCTGTACGATTGTTTTCTCAAAACTGAAAGAGCGTGGGTACTCTAAACGATTTTTACGAAACATAAAAAATTCCACCTTAGCACAGATAGCAGCTAAAAACAGACTTTATGCCGAAGTACCTCCAGGTTTAAGAAGTGCTCCATGTTTGTCCAGTAGATGCAAAACATGTCCCTTTATATCAGAAACTCATTATTTCGTAAGCAACTCTACGAATAACAGGTACCCGATCCAGGAACATCTAACATGTGAACATTCGAATGTACTATATTTAATTTCATGCAAG